ATATTAATTTACTGTGTAAATATGTCATTTCAGGTTAGTGGTGATGAAGCCAATATAGTTGCAATAGGGGAAGGAGGAGAGAGAAAAAGAAGGTGTTGGCCATGTCAAAGAAACAAGGTTAATAATGCGGAGCCTAAAAAGTTAGGCTGGATTCAAGGAGTGCTTGTAAGTGTGACCTACATGTACATGTATGTACCTTCATGTAGTAATCATTACACGTATGTATACTTACTATATGTGTATATAGATACGCTGTTTACTGAATATATGGGGCGTCATGCTATTTATCCGACTTAGTTGGGTTGTGGGTCAGGCTGGTATAGGGTTTTCCTCTGTGATCATTATACTATCCACTGTTGTAACTGTTGTCACCACGTTATCCATGTCAGCCATTTGTACCAATGGTGAAGTGAAAGGAGGAGGAGCTTATTATTTAATCTCTCGTAGTTTGGGACCTGAATTTGGTAAAGTTACATACATTTATCTGTTATTGTTACAACTTACATGCATATTTATTTTATAGGAGGAGCTATTGGTATTATATTTTCACTGGCTAATGCAGTAGCTGTTGGACTTTATGTTGTTGGTTTTGCAGAAACACTGACTGAACTATTAGTGGTATATGAATTATAATACTTAGAAATAATTACTTGTATATTCCTTAATATAATCAATAGAGACATGATGTTCCTATACCAGGACTCTCAGAAATAAACCACATACGTATGTTTGGGTTTTTTACTGCTATATTATTGTTGGGTATAGCATTGATTGGATTAGATTGGGAATCAAAGGTACAATGTTATATAAATGTATTTAATAACCTATTATGTTCATTATAGATTCAAATAGTTTTGTTAGTTGTGTTGGTTGTGGCTCTTATTGATGCTGTGATTGGTTCATTCATACCAAGAAGTTGTGATCATACTGTAACATTACAAGGATTTACTCATTATCGATGTAAGCCTATGCAATGTACATGTAGATACATGTATATACACATGTACATTGTATTTGTACATGTATCATTAAAATTTTGTGGACATTATTTTGTTAATTTCAAAAAATATATGTACGTGTAGCTTAATTACTTTGTTGAATTTTTGGTTTTGACAACTATTATACTGGAGTTATGGAATTTTCCTTATTTATTACAATTTTCCTTTTTCCATAAATTACAAAAATATGTTCTTCCACTATTTGTTTTTATATTAATTCTATTTTCTTGTAGGGGGTACATTTGTTGAAAACTTTTCTCCCGACTATCACGACAACCAGAATTTCTTTAGTGTCTTTTCTGTATTCTTCCCAGCAGCTACCGGTATACTTGCTGGAGCTAATATATCAGGAAACCTAAAGGTCTTTGATGATAATAATTATGTTAATATGATATACAGTAAATGATAAGATGTTTCTTATTAATTAAAAATCAATTAAATTTACTGAATTTTTTTTAATTAATTTTTTCATTATTTTTCTTAATATGATAGGACCCACAAACTGCCATACCCAAAGGAACATTTACAGCTATATTCATCAGCAGTGCTGTGTATCTGGTAATAGCATGGATGATTGGATTCACTGTTGTTAGATTTGCCCCTGGCACCCCAACATTATACTTTGACAAGATAGTTGAAACAGCAGCGACATCATCCTTTCAATGTAGCTCAGGACTAGATGAATCTAGTTCTAATTTCACCTATTGCACGTCATCTTTTTTTGATTTGGGAACAGTAAATGGTTTTATGCAGAACTGTACGGATTGTCTGAGTGTACCATGTGATTATCAGGATGGAATCAATGC